CACAAGTTGAACGGATCAAATCGGAGTTAAAACGGAGATTTTATGGCTAAAAAAAATCAGTGGCAAATCTATAAATAAGTGAAAACATATTTTGGATCTAAACCGATGAAACTACGCTTTCCAAAGAAGAAAACGTAATCTATGATTACGCTTTGGACCGTGGGTTCTATTATTGAAAAGTGCAAGGACTCTTTAGCAAAATCAGCTGGTGAAGAGGTATCAAGCCATATCGCCCGTTGGATCTTCACTAATCGGCTCATATTAGAACATAGATGGGAATTGGGAAAAAAACGGCCGGAACAGTTGCCCTCGGCGGTGATTTGGCCGGCGTTGATCGATTGCTCGCCGGAGCTATGGGACAAAGCACCTAGGGGCTCTAATTCGACTCGGCTTTGGCACAGGGAGATGGATAGGAACATGGAGAACTCGACTATGCGACTTGCAGCGGCTATTGCAGAGCAGAGAAGGCGGGCAACGGGCTATGGCGGCGGCGGAGCGTCGGCGACATGGCGTAGGCCGTAATGGAAGGGGACAGAGGGAATTTAAGAGTTTTGCGAGTTCGGGAACTTAACTAGAAGCTCTAAACGGCTTGGCGACGATGGCTCCACGCGGCGGGATCCAGGCGGCGGCGCTTGGCTAGCTTGGAGCGAGGCGATGAGAGATAGGGCGTGGGGATAGACGGCATGGCACGGGGATCACTATTTATGGGGCTGGCGCGGCTTGGGGCGCACGCCAGAGCAAGGACGGGGCGAAGACGGACTGCTCGGTGAAGTCTGAGCCGGCTACGCGAGGTAGAAGATGAGCCTGACAAGGTGGACCCACCGGTCAATGAGAGCGGGCGTGGGCAAGGGCTAGCAGCCAGAGAGGGGATGCGCGCGGGCGCTGCTGCCGCTGAACTGGGCTGCGGCCTTCGACAAGGAGAGGAAACTGGCCGGCCCAAGAGCGGGCGCTGCAAGCAGGGAAACGGCCAGCTGGGCCGAGCGGAGAAATGGGCCGCGCGGGAGGAAGAGAGAGGAGTACTTGGGCTGGCTCGAGAAGGGCCTGAGGGAGAAGGATAGAGCAGGCCAAGCAGGCCGGTTGGACAGAATGGAGAGAAAAAAGATTTTTCCTTTTTATTTTGCTTTTCTATTTCCAAACCACATTCAAATATGAACCAAATGCAACGTCAAATAAAGTTTTGAATATACTTTTTCACTCAAATAAAATGAACAATTTTAGTAAGTTTTCAAACATAAATTTCCACAATTCTTTTATTTTCAAATTTTCTTTTCTTTTATTTCAAAGCCATTTTTTATTTCATTTGCAAAAAAAAATTTAAACCATTTTGAATTTCCAGTCAAACCACTCAATCAAATAAATCAAACGCAATGGCATGTATGCTCAAACATGTTGCTTCCTTATGATGAATTTTAAATTAATGATTTTTTTTATTTTCCTATGTTTTCATGAGCACATAAATTCTCAATTAATTCATTTTAGCTCTATTTCCAAAAATTTAAATTTTAGGGTGTTACAATTCTACCCCCTTAAGATGAATCTCGTCCTCGAGATTCGGACGACGTCGACTTGGAGGTAGAAATACTTCATCTTTAGATTCTTCTTTACTTCCTCGTTCAGTTCCATCGTCTTGATAAGGATTCCACTTTTCTTTGTTTACCTGTTGACCTTACTCCAAATATCTTGCCGGAACAGTATTTTCAGCCAAATTCAGCCAAGCGAACAGGACCCTTGTGTGCAGCAAGCGCGGGCATGGACGGTCCCTACCTGAGCGTGCACCAGGCGCGGGCTCGGGCGATCCCCTGCCTTGTGTGCAACAGGCACGGGCGCGGGCGGTCCCTACCTGTGCCTGTGCGTGCAGTAGACGTGCAACGGGCGTGGGCATCCATTGGACATACTTCCGGGTGCTAGCCACGCCAATATAGATTTGGTCTCTTAAACATAGTATATAATTTATTTGAGGACGAGAATCCGCTTATTGATACTATCTCCATCTACGAAAGAATGTAACTATAAGAAACGCGTCGGTCAAAATAGCTCAAGTTTGAATAAATTTATAGTAAATACTATTATCATTTATGTCTCTAAATAAATTTATTATGAAAGTATATTGTATAACTAATCTAATGATACTTATTTGAGACTTTTCCTTGTGTGTCATTATAAAAGATCACAATCCCCTGTGTGCCTCTGGAAAAAATCAGCGGTCTTCAGCGTCACTACTCTAACTTTTTCGTGTCCTCCATGCCACTTCCCTCTAACGCCGTCAAACTACAGGTGTGAAAAGACGAAAATACCCTTAAGTCTAAATATGTTATTAATTTTTTTGAGCATCTTAACGACTTCAAATGAAAAAACTCAAAACTAGAAAGTTGTATATCTCGTCGAGATCTATAATTTTCATATAAAATTTATTTTCATTTAATTGCGCAAAAAAAGATGATTTTTCTAAGATATATTAATCATATCAAATCATATTTTTTTACGGAATTAAATGAAAATATATTTTATATAAAAATTATAGATCTCGACGAGATCTACAACTATCTAGTTTTAAGTTTTTTCATTTGAAGTCGTAAAGATGCTTAAAAAATTAATAACATATTTAGACTTAAGGGTATTTTCCTTTTTTCACACCCGCTTGCTTGACGGTTAAGCCCAAACCTGACGGAAGTGGCATGGAGGACACGAAAAAGTTGAAGTAGTGGCGTTGAAGACCGCTGAATTTTTCCAGGATCTGAGGATTGCAATCTTTATAATGGCACACACGAGTAAAAATCTCTACTTATTTTATTTCATGAGTGTTAGTACATTTTATATAATTTCAATCAAAGTTTAAATTGTTTGACTCCTCGAAATTGAAAAATGCATTGGAGGGAGTATGTACTGACCTATGGACTCATGGAGGCCCGACATCAAACTAATTATTACTAATTAACACTAATGAATTAGTTTCCTTCACCAGGAGCACAGCATGTTGGATGAAGTGACGCTGCTCCATTTGCTCGGGCTAACCTTTGAGCAAGCCCCACGAGCTGGTTCGTCATGGGTGATGACCTCCTGGTCGCCATGACCTCCGTCTGAGGGGCTGGACGCCGCACTCGCCGCAGCGTCTCCTCTCGAGCTCAAGGGAGTGCTCCGTAGTTACGTGTTGCCCACGATGTCCACCAGGGATCGGACTGCCTGCTGTTCAAGGGCGCGGCGCGGTGGCGGCACGTACGTGCTACGGCGGCGGCACCACGCCACGCGCTTCAGCCTCGCCGACCACGGCATGGTGGACGCCAAGATCGGTGCTCGCACAGATGTGGACCAGGCACGGGCTCAGCTGGACGACGTCGTCTCCTGCAGCCGTGGTTGCACACCATGCACCGGCAGGGATCGGAGCACCGGCGGTAGTCACTACTGGAGGCCGCGGCTTTGCCGAGTGTTTTCACTCGGCAAAGAGCCCTTTGCACTCGGCAAAGTCCGCTCGGCAAAATTTTTCTCGGCAAAGGGTCTTTGCCGAGTGCTTTTTATTGGGACACTCGGCAAAATAAAAAAAAATTGCCGAGTGCTTGGGGCGGCACTCGGCAAAATATTTTCGGCCATTGCGGCGCCGGCCGTTAACGGTTATTTTACCGAGTGCCCGACCCAGCATTCGGCAAAAAAAAATTATTTTTTTAAAAATTTACTTTGCCGAGTGCCCCAGCCCAGGCACTCGGCAAAGTTTTTTTATTTTTAAAAAAAGACTTTGCCGAGTGTTCCTGCCCAAGCACTCAAAGAAAGTTTTTTTTGGGGAATTACTTTTGCCGAGTGCCCCGCCCGAGCACTCGGCAAAGTTTTTTTTGGTTTTTTTAAATAATTTCTTTGCCGAGTGCCCCTGCCCAGACACTCGGCAAAGTTTTCTTTTATTTTTTTAAATAATTTCTTTGCCGAGTGCCCCTGTTTAGGCACTCGGCAAAGAATTTCTGAATTTTTTAAAAAAAAAACTTTGCCGAGTGCCTGGGCGAGGGCACTCGGCAAAATACTTTTTTTAAAAAAATAAAAAAACTTTCAGGGCCCAAAACTGCCAGCAGGGATGTTCCAACAAAACATCAAGTTTCTAGGATTTCTATATACTCGTTTCTTCTTTTCTATTATTTTTGTTTCAAATTTGTAATAAAAAAATGCTGTGCAATGGAAACGATCTTGTCTACCTGCGATGTACCTACTATCAAGCGGAAAACCAGAGTACTAGGAAAAAAGTGCCCATTTTCAAATAAACTATAAAAACCTGGGCGCGGCTTTGCCGCGCCATCTTGATCACCTATGTTATTTTATTGCGCTATAGTTAAACAATAGAGTATTGAAGCTCAATAAGGAGTGATCACCTATGTTATTTTATTGCGCTATAGTTAAACAATAGAGTATTGAAGCTCAATAAGGAGCTCTAAGGTGTTTGATATTTTCTCTCGTTTTGTTTGGCTGCTGTGCTCTCATTCTGTAGTTCAGCAATGTCACCCTACAATGACAAATTTAGAAAGCATAATAACATGATTACAGATGGATAGCATGGAGGAGAAATAAATGTAGCTTATATAGCGGATAAGATCATAAGGGTACAAAAGCAGTGTCGACAATAAGTAATAAGAACTGCATCAATTATTTAGTAGAAAATAAATAAAGGTCAGTTGTTATGGCATTCTTTAATGACAATCTTCAATGAAATATTAGACAAAATAGCATATGTACTTACAGATATGACTGTTGTATGTAGCAGACAAAGACAAGCCTCTGATTTATGCTGATAAACATGAGAATGCTGTTAAGAACTCAATTAAGTGTTTGCTATTGATTAGACGGGAAGGTACATTGCAACTACACATTCAATCCACATCATCTTCCTTGTACGTAATCAGTATCTGTGAACACTAACTTAGGAATGCCTACCTATCGCCAGAGCAGAGATGCATTTGACCCCTTCCTGCATGTTGTTTTTCCTCCGACAAATCTGAGTGTATCCAGCTTTTATATGTCTCTTTGGCTTATGAGTGGCCAATGATAATACCTACAACTTTGAAACCATGAACTGAGACCAAGGAAAACACAGTGTCTAATCGTACCAAGATAAATGTGATGGAATGCCTTAGCTCAAGCTGTAATTCTTAACATGACTTCTGCAGGCTAAATTAGCACATTCAGATAATTTTAGGCATGCACAAAGGTCATATTGTCACAAAGCTATAAGCATATGAAGACATATTATTATACTATATCCTAATCTGATAACCATTCAGGAACTCCTCCATCTAGAAGATTTAGCTTTTCACTTTACATAAGACTTCAGTTGATTTAATAAAGTTTGATGCAAATTATAAGTTATAACAGATTTGTTAGTGTGGATACAAGTTAATTTAATAAGTAATATAACATACTAATGCTGATAACCTACTTCTGGGCTCTAATTTACAGCACTGTGTATCACTACAGTGCCAAGGCAAATGTCGAGCACATTACGCAGCTGTTTGCATATCCTGATATCAATGCATTGTAAGGTCCAGATGTCCATGTGTGGCAATGCTCTCAAAACCTTAACAACATCAAATACTGTCTATTTAATAGATTACCAGCACCTAAACAGTGTACTTAACAAACAAAAGCGGATACCTTTGAAGGCTGAGTTTGGCTTCTTTCCCACTGCTGACAAACTATCTTGCGATGCAATTGTAGCCTGGTACTTTGGGGGAAGCCCCTTCACCAGATGCTTGCCACTGCTATGATTTTCGTGATTTTCGTTATTCATCACAACAGCTTCATCAGAACTTACTAATTTGTCAGCGTGTGCATTCATCTCTTCTGGAATCTGCCCAGCCGCTTCTTTTGAAGTGTTGCAAGTGAGAGAGTTCCTCCTCACAATCCTTTTCTTCTTAACCTCGAGTCTCTTCAGACTCTGTGCTTCCTTACGTTTCTTCCATTCATCATTGCCAACAGCCTCAATGACAGCAGGGAGTGAACTAGTCCTCATGAGTGTGCCTGCAATATTCAGTAAGTATTTACAGATATTGGGAATTTGTGGAAAGCTGTTGATGTTTATTTCAAGAAACACTGAGATATTCGATTTCTCAACATATGACTGTTACATTAAAACATGTATTCTTTCGTTTACATTGGCATTATGCTTTAACAAATCTATATATTAACTAAAACCAATTACAAAACTACAAACCAAAGCGATCACAATCGGCACTGCTAAGCACGGAATCTAAAAGCCAAATTAACTATCAAGGGTAGCAAATACTAAAGATAGTATAAACCCCACAAAGAGAAGCCATACGCACCTTGCAATCTCTGCCCATCACCTCCCGAAGAGGCAGAGAAGGGCTCCCGCCACGCGGCAGCCTCGCCACGTGTTCCACGCCGAGACCCCGCCATCAAGGCAAGAACCCCATCTAGCTCTGCCCTGCGCATCCCAACCTCCGGCGCCTCGGCCAGGACCGGCAATGAGCTCGTCCATGGGAGCGCTGCGTGGCGCCCGGCACCTCCACCGGCCCGGCGTCGGCATGGCCGCCCACGGATGACGACCGAGGGAGCTTGTCCCCTTTCTGTCTAGCCCGAACCGCCGCCGAGCGACAACCCGAGGCTGAGTTCGACCTCCTCCATCTGCTGCAGCCTGCCCGACCTCTGCTCCGGTGGCGGCTCGTCTCCCTTCCCAATCCCATGCAAAAAGTCCCACCGCCAAGGGGATGGGCTGGGGCGCGGCCTTTCTGCAATGGCGGCGGCGCTGCTTCTTTGCGCGTCTGTGGCGCGCGCCTGCGGCGCACGCGCCTGTGCGGGCGAAGCGGGAGGTGGCGCCCAGCAGGCGCTGGGCGGGGCTGCTGTGAGGCGGCTATGTGCAGGCGGGCGGGCGGCGGCAACAGCGTCTGGGGGTCGGGAGCACGGGCAGCAGCGAAGATAGGGTTTGGAGGGAGGGGGTGAGGTGGGCAGTTGGGCCCTTTTAGGCCATGAGCGTTTTTTTGGATTTTCTTTGCCGAGTGCCTTTGGGCCGGCACTTTCGGCAAAATTTGTTTTTATTTTTTTTAAAAAAACTTTGCCGAGTGTCATCTTTGTGCACTCGGCAAATTTTTTTATTTTATTTTTTGAAAACAAATTTTGCCGAGTGCCTCCTGGACCCGGCACTCGGCAAAGACATTTTTGCCGAGTGCTCCCTGTGACACTCGGCAAAATATATTTATTTTTTTTTATTTTCGACCCAAATTTTTTTGTGTAGCCTTGTGACAGTATTTAAAGCTCTACTCTAAAATTTGGTGAAATTTTGACTTTTTTAGGTATAATTCATTAATTTATTTCGTTTGGTTGATTTTTTCGATGTATTTCAAATTTGAACTGCAGGTCCATGGAATAATGGAATTTGGTCATCCAAAAATTGATATTCATGATATTTAGTGTATGTTGAGGCCGTATCCAAGGAGTAACATGAAATCTCGAGCATCTCTTTGACGTAACATGTCGAGTTAGTTGCGGGAAAAGTGAATTTAAATTATATATAATCTAAACGAAGTCCGAAAATCATGAAACTTGTGGAGGCGTTGTGTTATCGCATGTGGAGGCTGTGGTAAAAAATTGAGAAGATTTCGAGCAAGTAGTGACGTCGGATGCCAAAAACGAAGTGATCACATGGGAAACAAAGTGATCACATGTGGAGATGTCTGAGTTTTCAGAAAATAAAAAAATATTTTGCCGAGTGCCCAAGGATGACACTCGGCAAAGTTTTTTTTAAAAAAAAATAAAAACAAATTTTGCCGAGCGCCTAGCTTTCCCGAGTGCCAGGCACTCGGCAAAGTCCAGATTTGCCGAGTGCCTGACTTTGCCGAGTGCCTAGCACTCGGCAAAGCCTGCTTTGTCGAGTGCAAAATTTTACCGAGTGCTACACTCGGCAAAATATTGCTTTGCCGAGTGCCACGATATTTTGCACTCGGTAAAATATCAGGCACTCGGTAAAGTACAGTTTTCCAGCAGTGCCTAGTGGATGGGCAACAACGTACGTAACGATCGAGTGGACCAGGCGCGAGGTCAACCAGCTCGTGGAGTCCACCATGGCTTATATCAAGGTACTCAGCGAATGCCTTGACTCTGTGTGAGATCCACCGTCCATATCGATACTCAGGAGAATTCAATCTTTTTTTTTTCTTTTATTCATTGATAACAAGGAGAGAATCCAAATGACCAAGTCTTGGGATCAGACATGGCTGAGAAGTGACTAGTCAATCAATACTACTATATGTACTACTCCCTCCCCTCTATCTTTATGAAAGATACAATTCTAGAATAGGCGTATTGCTTCGAGCGGAACAGCGCTGCGTGGATCATGTCATCATGAATGGTGCTGCAGCGCCGCTCGCCATCCGTGGTGGTGGTGAAGTTTGTGTTCCGATCGGCTGTGCTCGGGGTGGACGACCACGCCCATCACCGTACACGAATGCAAGGGTGGTTGGCCTTCATCGCCGCCACCAAGGCCAAGCATGTATGTCACCATTGACTTCGCCTAGCTCCAAACCCTTGAGCCCGGCGATGTTGCCTGACACCAATCACAAATACAGCGAGGTTGCCGGGCAACCAACTTGGCACCAACGGTATCGATCGAGTTTCTGCTCTCTGCTCCTCGGCCAAGTGTGGGTGTTTTGCACGCCTCCTTTTGAGGGGCTCCTCCGGAGGAGTTAGAGTCGTTTTCGAAATGGCTCCGGCTCCTCTCCTTTTTACTAAAAAATGGCTTCTCTAAGAAAACGTTTGGCAGGGCTCCTCTACAGGAGCTTGAGCCCGAGAGGAGCCCCGTCAAACAGGCCCTTAATTAGAGCCCTGTTGGTGATGGACTGATGGTGTTGGCGGCGCGCAGGCTGTTATTGAGAGCCTTGAAGTAGTCGCCTTGTTCTCCAAGCTGGAATCCTATGGCCTGATGAGCTCCAACAGCGTCACGTTCATCGCGATTTCTGACCAACTATATATGGTCACTCCCGCACGCCCGACGAGGTTGAGGCGGCCTTCGCGCCATGGCTACTGAACACAACGTCCGGCCAGGGATATCGAGCACTACGTCTGCCTCACTAAGGCTGTCGCCGGGAGGCCGAGGACGCGATCCGGGAGATGGCGCCGGACGCGGCCGTCTGGGGCACACAGCTCTCTAGGTGCCGGATGGCGCCGGACACGGTGCGAGGCACGCTGCTGTCCGGATTCCGGCTGCACGGTGACGCCGAGTTGGCTGCGCATGCGGTGCGATCTGCGCGAAAGCACCGCGTATGTGCTTTAGGCCACCCTGTCGGCATGCGGCAGCAGCTGCAGGAAGGAGGCACACAGCCGCCGGAGCCGGTGAGGCACCAAGCAAGTAGAGGAAGCAGCGACGCAGAACGACGAGGGCACTGGGTAGTAGCTTAGCAGCTGGAGCAGGCGAGCAGCCGAGGCGTGCAGTGCAGAGCTCCTCCTGCCCCAGCGACCGGATGCAGCAGCCAGCAGGTGATGCAGGTTCCCTGCTTAAGACTAGCAGGCTTTACAGGCAAGCCTATTTAGGCCCACGTGATAAGTTGCGCATGGGCCGGGCCACTAGATTTATTTTCGCGGGCGGTCCTAGCAGGATAGTGGTCTAGCCTATGCCTGCTTGCATCCACGCCCTGGGTTACCTGTGCCTTTCGTCTCTGTGCTCGTGTGATATTTATCATAGAAAGTACAGTATATTTCTAATAACTTATAATAAAACGAATTGGTATTTAAATTGCAAATATAGTTTCTACCCTGTGAGATCCTATAGCTTAACGAAGATGCAGTTGATTTGGTATAAGCTCGCAATATAAGTACTTCATCTGTTCTAAATTATAAGTCATTTCGACTTTTGTAGGTATAGTTTTACTACGTATCCAGATATACCATATGTCTAATATAATGTAAAACAATATATTTAAAAAAATCAAAATGACTTATAATTTAAAATAGAGAGAGTGTTTTCTAACTTATTGGCATGTGCCCATGCACGGATTGCTGGGCTAATACATACAGAGTCATAATAACACGTCACAAATGCTTATAATAAGAGTTTTGCTCTATTGAGTCTCTCAAAAAAGTTATACCCATCTTAAAGCGACTTAATATTAATTGTTTTTTCATAATTAATTTATCCATGGGTCTGATATGGTCCCAACCCTATCCATACCAATGTTGAGCCCAACACATGTTCAGGCGATTTTTTTGGATCCAATCCGCGTGTGCAGTGGTGCTGTTTTGTCCAACCAGACGACAAAGATGAGACCTGGAAGCGCTGTTGTGGCGCAGACGGAGCAGGCACGACGCGTCGGCACGGCACACGGCTATGCAGCACCGAACCGCGGGCTATGTCAGTGTGAGAAACCCACGTGGAGGGATATGAACATATGGCATATAAAGTTTATGGACCCAAAAAAACCACTTTGAAAGTTTATGGATCTAAGTGAGACCTCCTCACAAGGTAATGGGCCTCTGGTGCATTTTACTCTAAGTACAAATTTCTTTGGGAGGTCCACTAGAGTAATAAACAGATCATAATAATCAGATTACGATCCAAATATGATTGATTATATGATGGATTGTTATAATAAAAAAACCCTTATTTTCATAATCCTATAACTCAGATGAAAGATGATTTAAGGGGGGTTATATATAGGTGCTACAAGTGCAACTTGTCTACCAACCAATTGTCCAACTTACCAAACCAAAAGATAAGATAGGATTTTCCCACTTTAGCCAAGCATAATTAGCCCCAAACATGCCCAGAGTGTCTTGTGATTATTAGGATAGTTAAAACGGCACCTTGTAGTGATCCGTTCGCTATGTTTTTTCTTTCGTACAAAATTAATAATATATAATGGGAAAACATCATAAAAAGAAGTAGAACAACAGTTATGAATTGTGACTCCCAAATAAATGACCCGGTACTCCCGATTCTTTCAGAGGCCATCAGCAAAATAAAGGTAGCAATATAATAACGCCGTGTTTTCCCCAATGTCTGCCTCACACTGCTCAGTAGTCACAAACAAATGCGCTCCTGCATGCCTGCACAATACTAACTTAGGTAGGTAAATGGTATACATACATGTAATAATTAGGGAAAAGAAGAAAAAAGCAACAATGGTGCGAGACAAACCCGCACGAACGTACCATTAATCCTCCCATTCCAATTTAGTATTCCTAGCATCATGTATCACGAACCTGTTCCAGGAAAGACTTGACACCTTCATCCTCCCATTCCAATTCATTCCAATAATATCTTTTTATAAAAACCAGTTTAGTCAACTTGTGTGGTAAACTTTGCATCGTGAAGGGAAGCCGCTTCAACTTTCGGCATCGTATAATTTCCAACTCCTCAAGGCATGGGAACGTCACGTCAGAACCGCACAAGCTGACTAGCATGTCAT